GGAACACAAAACCATGTTTCGTTTTCGCTGAACGGTTTTAGTAGTACCAAAAAAGTGGTGAATGATACTTCGATCCCCCGCGGCGACTAAATTTTGCAATCAAGGTTGGCGGCCACTTGTTGGCTTCAAAATGGTCCTGACGATGAATATGACATCTGATTTTGACATTTAGCGCGATTTGGCACCAAACCGTAGGCGCCAACCCAAATGCAAAATTTAGTCGCCACGGGGGATCGAACCATTAACAGTACCTTATGCTTCTTTTTTGGTACTGCTAAAACCGTTCAGCGAAAATGAAACATGGTTTTGTGTTCCCTACATGCGTCCCTACAATATGCAAAAAACCGTTTTGAAAAAGCGTGGCTTGCCTGAAAGACCCCCCTTGTGAAAGACCCCCCTTGTGTGGCCTGTTAGTCGGCTACGGTCACGACCGCATGTCGGTGCTCGTAGTGACTGGCCACCGGTGGCAGGTCGGTGTTCACCGGGTGAACGCGATGAGGCCAGCTAAGGCGAAGGGGCACGTCGCTCCGTAGTCCATGTTGGCGGAGCGCCTGTCATCCCAAAGCCGGTCGTGTCCTTCCCCTGCTCCCCGTCTGGGAGCAGCCCTTACAACATCCCATAGGACACGTCGGCCGCATGGAGCCCCCAGAAGAAGCCGAGCCAACGTGGGGGTCTAATACGTCGAGTCAGCTGGTGGGGCTCACCTCTGAGAGAGGTGACCAGGGAGCTTCGAGGAAGTGGTGAGATTACTGCGTCAATAAATATGTAAATATTTTGGGTATTTATTGCGTGTTTGTTTTTATGCGGTTTTACCCTAGTTCATGTTTTGCCGTGGGCTTACCCCTGTAAATTTCTCAACAAATACAGTGGCATATGTCTCCACTTGATCGTGGGCATTCAGAGCATCAAAATAGAACGTCGGATAGCGAGTGCCGTTCGGACCAAGCACAATTCTACCGGAGACACCTGAATCAACAATTTTCAGAACAGTGCTGCTCTAGTTCTGAAAGCAATCGGAGTTACCTTCAAACTCCATCGCATAATGATTTGCTACGCTTCTTCCATCGCCAAGCTGGGAGTGGGACGTCAATGTACGATTGGCGGCAACCGCATACGCATAGAATGCATCGTGAAGTTGCCCCGCATACGCCGAAACCTTCGATAGGAAATGATTTTTTTCACAAGAGCTTTTGTTGTTCGCTTCAAAAGTTTGTGATGGAATAAGAGCGAAATGAGCTCATATTAAATCGAGTAACAATTAGTAAACAAGTTGGAC